TAAAAAACTTTGAGAACCCCTGGTTTAAATGATCTTCTAAGCCTCTTTGGAAGGTCGTGCCTCTAGGGAAGGCATGGCCAAACTTTGGCCCTCTAAGTGTTTTGGACTTCAACACCCATAATTCCTAATAGCTGGTAAGTTAGCTGGGATTTCTGGGAGTTGAAGCTCAAAACAGCTAGAAGGTCAAAGTTTGCCTTCCTGCTCTAGGGACAAGACTCCAAATAGAGTATATAAGTACATTCCTTTATATAGAAGGCATTCAGTCCAGGTTATTCTCATGTAAGTAAGCAAAATGTAAATTTAGCTCTGATATGATCACAAAACATTTTGCAAGCAGCCAATGATTCACTTGCCCTATTTTAGCTCTCAGTTTATGTCACTGGAAAATAACTTCCCATCCTCTTTAAATCCTCAAACATGTCATTCAGAAAAAAAAGCAAAAAGTAGTTCTTACCTCATTGGAGAAGCATCATTTTGACCTCAAAGTTTTTATTTTATGTACTATGAGCCTGTAATAATTGTAATAAAAATAAGAAATATTTCTTCATTATAAATTGAATGAAAAGCTATCATTTTCATTCAGTAAATTAGGCCAGATAATCTCGCTATAAAGCCACCAAAGATCATGCCTAGACAGTATAAAGACTGGCCTAATAATTTAGAATGTAGTCTTACTGTATATACTTGAGTATAAGCTGACCAAAATATAAACTTTTGGTCAGCTTATACTCAATGCTGAGTTATACTGTCACACTATTACTCCATGCTGAGTTGTACTGTCACACTATTCTTGCATTTTAACTGCCAGGGTTCCCTCCTGTGAACTCTTTGAATTGGCAGTTTAAGAAATGATATCTAGAGTTCTCATCCAGAGAACTCTACTGTCCCATCAAGCAGGAACCCCCAGGCTTTTTCCATGAGATGGAGCCCTAGCAGTTAAATACAATTACAGTGTTCCCTCACTTATTGTGGGGGTTCCATTCCAGGGCCACCAGCAATAAGTGAAAATTCACGATGTAAAAATGCCATATTAATTTTAATATTTATACATTATTTTATATATTATTTTCTTACCCGCAGTTCCTTTCCTGCCTCCCGGCCCATCCCAAGGGCATCTGCCTGCTTCCCTGGCCTCTGCAAACCCCTGCAGAGCCTCCGGAGCCACACAGGCGGCAGCAGGCCAGGGAGGCAGGCCTTCCCCGCCACACTTCAGGCCGCTGCACTTCCAGGGTCCCTGGCCTCCATTGGACATAAATATTGTATATTTTATATTTTTTATTAATATTTTCAAAAACTCACGAAATAGCGAGTCTGCTAAAAGTGAACCATGAAGTAACAAGGGAACACTGTATAGTTCTGTAGTGTAAAATAGTACCTGATGAACTGCTGAAATGGCAACTCAGGCAAGGGCTCTGAGCAAAACTCTGGGCAAATGAGTGAACATCAGTTCATTTTAACATTTAGTTTGACCTGAACTAGACTGTGGTGACAGTGAAGAAAACCCTTCACTTTGGAAATGAAATAAAGGCTAACAGGAACCTTTGCTGCAGCTACTTCTTTTATGTTTGTTGTTGTTATTTGACTTATGGTGGCCCTATAATGAAAGACCAAGTCCCAGTGATCAATCACCCTTATTGGGACCTGCAACCTTGGGCTTTAGCTACCTTGACTCAATCAATCCACTTGTACTGTGGTCTTTTTTCCCTACTGCCTTCTGCTTTACTGAATATTATTTTTTCCATTGAGTTATGTCACCTTATGTGCAAAGCAAAATAATTTAGTTATCTTGGCTTCTAAGAAGAGTTCAAATTTGATTTACTATAGGATTCAATCATTCATCATTTTAGCAATCCATGATATCTAGAGAATTCTCACATTTCAAATGAGTTGATTCTTTTTTTTTGTCAGTTTTTTTAAATATCCTCCTCACACAACCATACATAGAAAATGGAAAGAGTTACCAAGAGTAGATGGGGCAGGACATAAATAAAGTTGAATTGACTTGACTTGACTATGGAAAAATGGAAACCTGCACATAATTTTCTGAGCTTTGAAGAGAAGCCAATTTCTTCAGAGTGTGAAGACTTCTTCTACCAGCCCTCCTCTTATGATACAGAGCTATTCTATCAGATTGCATGAGAAGGGTGAAAAAGGAAGGAAAACACTACTTCAACCCTGCAGTTTCCAGCTCCACCGGGCTTCTTCTTCAATCATGGTTCTTTGAGAGCACCTGTTCTATCCGTCTGTAGCAGAAGGAGAGAGAAAGCTTTCTCTATCAAGACACCAACAACTTGCAGGTTCATGAATTGTCTTCCATTCCATCTTCCATTCCACCTAGTCATACATGAATTACTTTAGTTTGTTTCCTCCCTCCCAAACTATATTTCTTTTTGTGTTGTGTCTAAACACTAAACCTGAGGCCATGGATCACCTTACTATTGCTATCAGAAAGTTGTTCTGTAAATCTTTCAGTGATGATAATGGCTAAAATAAGGGGTAAAATGGTACTTATAATGATCTGAAAAGTCTTCCAGGCTTTTTCTTGTTATTTTACTTCCTAAAGTTTTGCATTCATTGACATTGCATTCATTGACATTGCTAAAGAATAACACCATAAGAATGACTCATTCTCAACAGTTATAAATCAAATTAAGGAACAGTGAGCCTTGAGCAAGGGCAACTAAACCTGGTTCAGCTTTAGGCTAGACTGGCCTCAGCTAAGGGTACACACACTTCTCTATCAGCATCAAAAGCAGAAGCTGTGATGAGCCAATTCTTTAGGGCTTGGCTATGCATTAGACAACCATTATAAAACAATTTAGATGTCCAGTTTCAGCATTGCCGCCAGAAACCAGCATAAATATGGAAGTCTCAATGAATGAGAATGGTACATCTTGTCTCTGTGCTGTTTGAAAGCCCGGAGGCTTTGACAAATTCCACATCTCCAGAATGGTCTTGTTGGCCTTACTGGTACATTATTTAAACTTATGTTTATTCATCATGCTCAATATATCCCATATGAATGGGGGAATTGGGATAATGATACAAAAGGTTTGCTAGCCCCCCCCCCCCCACTCTTGAATCAAACTCAGCTCCCCCCCCCCCCAAAAAAAAATTAAAATCCTGGCTATGGGCCTGGCAAGGGGACCTCAAACGTTGAAAACAGAGGGCCAGTTCATGGTCCCTCAGACAGTTGGGAGGTCTAATCGTTCATATTTGGAAAAAAAATGGTATTCCTATGCACACTGCACATGTCTTATTAGAAGTGCAAAAAACATGAAGGAATAATGCAAAATTTAAAATGAAGATTGATTTTAATCAACATAAACTTACCAGTATTTCAATGGGAAGTGTGGGCCTGCTTTTGGATAATGAAATAGTTAAGTCAATTAGAATTGTTGTTGTTGTATGCCTTCAAGTAATTACAGATTTAGAGTGACTTTAAGTTTAAAGTGTAAGGCGTGTGTGTGTGTGTGGGCGGGGGGGAGGTAAATGACCTTGGAGGGCCGCAACCAGTCTGCGGCCCTTAGTTTGGGGAGTCCTGGCCTAAAGTAAGAATGAAAAATTCAGCTGTAATGTTGAATCATTTAAGTGAACCCAATGAACTCCATGTTGACAACAGCTGTGTCATTGGTGCTATGCTACAAATGCTGTAACCACAATATTTTGTTTGTGTCCAGGGCCAACAACCAGAAGTATGATCAGAAGTATGATACTTTATCTACCTCAACTAGTGCTGTGAATAGGTTGGACTGAAAACAGGGCTGGAGGTTGATAGGCTTAAGCTATTGTTTGTTCGTTTGTGTCCCTGCCCTGTTTCAGGGCTCAATCCAGCTCCATGTTTCATTTGAGAAAACAGTAGAGCTGATATTTCAGTCCTACTCAAGAGTCCCTAGTGTAGTAATAAACCTACAAGCTTGAAGTAGATTAGTTTTTTAAAAGACATTATGACCAGCAAAATGTCAAAGAATCTTTCTTGACTGAAGTCCCCTCTTATAAGAAAAAAAATCACTTAAACGAGGCCTTTGAGCATCACAAGGCATGTTTTAATGTGAAATTGTGTGACCAAGGTACCTCTAGGGTAGCGTTTCTCAACCTGGGCATTAGGACCCCGGGCGGGGGTCACCAAAGACCATCAGAAAACACAGTATTTTCAATAGAAAATGGGGGTTCTGTGTGGGAAGTTTGGCCCAATTCTATCATTGGTGGGGTTCAGAATGCTGTTTGAATGTCTAGATCTATTTTCCCCAAACTCCAACAATGTTCACATTTGGGCATACTGAGAGTCCATGCCAAGTTTGGTCCATATCCATCATTGTTTGAGTCCACAGTGCTCTCTGGATGTAGGGGAACTACAACTCCAAAACTCAAGGTCAATGCCCACCAAACCCTTCCAGTATTTTCTGTTGGTTATGGGAGTTGTGTGTGCCAAGTTTGGTTCAATTTCATTGTTGAAGTTCTGAATGCTCTTTGATTGTAGGTGAACTATAAATCCCAACAACTACAACTCCAAAATGACAAAATCAATTCCCCCCAACCCAACCAGTGTTCAAATTTTGACTTATTGAGTATTCGTGCCAAATTTGGTCCAGTGAATGAAAATACATCCTGCATATCAGATATTTACATTACAATTCATAACAGTAGCAAAATGACAGTTATGAAGTAGCAACAAAAATTATTTTATGCTTGAGGGTCACCACCACATGAGGAACTGTATTAAGGGATCGTGGCATTAGGAAGGTTGACAACCATTGCTCTAGGGGGAGCATATAAAGACGCTGTTAATTTCCATCACAGCTGCAGCCAAGAAATGCACAGCCTGCGTCACTCATGTTTACCATATCCAATGTCCATCTGCTGTGGTGAAATGCAAGCCTGGACTCTTTTAGAAAAAGAAGACTGTCGGAGTAAGGATAGTCTTCCCATGTGAGAAATGCTTCACATATTTTCCAACATCATAAAGTCCCAGCACCATCTATTTAAATCCCCACCATTCCCTCTGGTTGTTATTTGCTACAAGATAGTTTTTGCTAAGTGGTTTTAAAAACAAGGATAGCAAACATTATGCCTCCAGAAAAACACCAGACCACCACAGCAGCAAAAAGAGCCATAAAAAAGATACGAACAGCTAGCCTTGTCATCAGCTTGGCACGGGGTTGGCAGCAATGGGCTACAGACCACAACACTAAGCAAGCCCAGGAGCCCAGTGGATGGCTGCCCAATGAGGAGACACCACCAAGTTTTTCTCCCCCCAAAGCCAGGACATTTTCAAAGAAAGACCAACCAAAGAAAGACTCATCATTTCACTCCAAACAACAAATACTTGAAGAGAATGGGGGACAAAGTGCAAGTGAATCTGATGAAGCTCTCCAGAAGTTGAACATTAGAAGCAAAGAAGTGACCAAAACCATTGTGAGCAAAGTCTATGAAAGAGGAAGTGGTGTCAATATCCTCAGTGACAAGTATGAAAAAGACAATGGCTGCACGGAGATGGGCAGCAATATCAAAGAGCTCAAAGATATTGATAAACTCCTTAGTAGCAAAATGTCCCCAACCAGAAGGAGAAAATGCTCTAACCTGGTATCTGAACTGACAAAAGGATGGAAGCAAGTGGAAGAGGAGGATAAGGCTCCAGACCAAGAAATACAGAATTATCGCAGTGAAAGCTTGGAGACTGAGGACAGTGGCTATGGAGAAGACACGGAGGACAGACTTGCTACAGAAAACAGTCACCAAGAAGTATTGAGTCCTGTAAGGATAAAGAGGTCCACAGCATCAAAGTGAGTAAAATCACTGCTTTTCCAAATGGTGTTCCCAAACTCAGTCCTGTTCTGATAGGCTAGGTTTTGCTTTGCTTGAAGTGCTTTCCATGTGCCTGTTGTGATAGGAATGTTAATCACAAAAAGTTATTTACGCCTTGTGGTGCAAGATGTATTGCATAAGGATGAAGGGAGAGGGCAAGTTTACATGATATACAGGAAGATGCAAGGGGCTCGCTCCATAAGGGCCAATGAGGAATTTCCTCAAAGAAGCCATTTCAAATAAACTTCTTGTATAATATGTACAGATAAGAGTGAGTCTATATTTTAACTATACTTGGGTTGTTAGCACACTAAAGGATAACACTTGAGGACCTAGAGAGACCCAGAAACATTTCCAGGGGAACATTTTTTGGTGTACGGAAAGTGAATATCTGAATATTGAGTCCATTGATAAATGGGTCAAACCGTATTAGAGTCATAATGTCATGATGAAAATGCAGACATAAAGACATGGCTTTCTGTAGTTAATGTTAGCTTATGGGAAGGCAACAGTCAAAACAGAGTACAGAGCTAAACAACTGGCAGTCATCTATCGCCCAAACATATATTTAATTGGGTCAATTTCTAAACATTAACCAGGTTAATTCATGATATTATTAGAGAGAGAAACCTTTCTCTGGGAAACTAGTAACCCTATGAAATGGAAAGGCTAGGTGCTTCTAAAGTATTCGTATCATACAAGTAAAACTACAACCACTTTGGTTTAGACAGACATGGTAATTGTACGACTTCTGTTTTTCAGAGCTGGGAAAACCTGCTTTTTCAGACTGAGGGTTATGAGAGCTGTACCCTCTCTCATGTTCTTTGTTTGCTTGTCCAAGCACTGATTTTTTTTTTGCTTACTTCTAAATGTGGCATTTCTTCTAGCCACCATATGCAATAGGACTTGCTCTTCTCTCCATTCATTCTATCATATATTTTTTTAAAAGCCATCATACTATAATGAACATCAAACTGATGGAATGAAGATGGTGGGATCTGATTATCCTGCTCAACCCTTTCCCTTACAGCAGTGGTTCTCAACCTGTTGGTCCCCAGGTGTTCTGGCCTACAACTCCCAGAAATCCCAGCCAGTTTACCAGCTGTTAGGATTTCTGGAAGTTGAAGACCAAAACATCTGGGGGCCCACAGGTTAGATCCACTGAGAATGTTCAGAAAAGTGGAGGGAGCCTTTTCAACAGAATGAGCTCTAGTATGTGTGTCTAGACGTAGGTAACTGAAAGTAGGGTGGACACACCTATTGTGGATGGAGATCTGTTTAATTCTGGATGCCTCCACACAATGTTTGTGGATCTCTTCCTTCCTCCTCATCTGACCTTGGTATAGCCCATTCCATTAAGGAGGATGCTGCTTTCAACCGGGCATCATTTTTGGAATGCTCTTTGGGCTATTAAAAGGGGGGGGGGGGGTAGCAGGGAAAACAAACTACATGAAAAGCACCCAGCAACATTTAAATCACACCCATGCCATCCACTGAGTCTAGTGTTCATCACAACATTATGTGGCTGTGCGTTGTGTACGAACATCATAAAGAGCTACTGCTTTATTTATTTTTTCATTTGGATTTAAGGTCTGCTTTTCTTCCAAGAATGAGACTCCAGGCAGCTTCAAATCCTATAGATGAAGAGACACCATTAAAACACAAAGCAAGATCAAAATTTTAAAAAGAGTTAGATTAAAAGTACAATTTAAAAACATGTAATTAAGAAAACTATAACATTCATGTAGAAGTAAGATTCCTTCCTCATCAATTTCAAAACATTTCAAATTGGATCTTGTCCAGTTAGAACATTTCTTCATAAGGCATTTCCATCATGAAGTTGGACTGCCATCTATTATTTCTAATAAGACTTATTTATATACTCCCCAATGAAAATAACATTTCAATATGTCTGGCATCAAAGCGTATGTCTTGAGAGTTGCAATCCAGCCTCTTTCTTTTCAGTGCCAAAGGTCTTATACAGTCTTATTCCAACACTTTGACCCTATTCCATGTTGATGCTGCCAAAAGTCAAAGATTCTTTTAAAAAAAGAAAGAGAAAACTATGGGACAGTAGGAATTAAAGACATTCTGGGCAAAAATCTGGCCACCACCACTTATCTATAATAAACAACCATTAGGATAGTTATTTGTGCTGTTTCAATAGACTAATGTTTGTAGTAAACGCTCCAGAAAAAGCAAGAAAATAGTCTACACTATTTCCTCTCATATAGCCGGTCTTTCTGAAGCGATAGCCCTTATATACAATGAAATACTGGCAGAGAAAGCAATTTCTGGTATTTTTTTTGTTTTTTGTTTTGTAAATACTACTACTGTAAAGTGTATATAGCTGTATGTAGCCACTTCACATAACTTTTCTGGTGTACAATCATAAAGATTCTAGTTGTTTCTGCTTCATTTTTAAAGTGCTTGGCAGAACCCATGGGAGTTGCCACCAGACTGGTCAAATAGCAATTGAACAGGATTATAGAAGAATAACAAGAAAGAAAAGATAAAGAGAACTGCAGGGAAGGTACATTGTTCAAGACGCCTACAGTTTTGTAATTTCCCCATTTACTTCTGTGCTCCACACACTTTTGTTGTGAACTGAAATACCCTTTAGTGGAAGGCATCATTAGCAGGAGTTTTGTGATTTTGAAAAAATCATGGACTTCTGTGAGGCTAAAGATGTTTTATTTTTCTTTCTTCCAGTAGTGGTCATTTCCTTGCAGACAGTTTACCAAGTACTGATCTGAGTTCCTTGGGGGCCCAGATGTCTACAGCATTCCCCACATTCTCAAATGTAAATCAGATATTTTACACAGAGATACTGATGACAGCAATTTATGCCAAAGTATATGTGATATTCTTAGCCTCCAATCCTAAACTTCGCAAGCAGAGGAAATGACCTTATAAAACTCTTGGAACTGCATGTTTCATTACTCCCTATTCACCTTAATGGCTGAACTTGTGCTCATACATTACTTCCTCTGAAATAAATGTAGCCCTTGTTCAGAAGGATTCCCACCCCTTCCGACAAATGTGTCTTCCCTACCCCCAACTAAGAATATTTAGACTGGTCTTATACAGTGTCTCGAGGTGGGAACTCCATGATACTTTGAGAGACCCTTTTTTGAGTCAGACTAGTTAAAACAATACAATATTCATGTAGACTAAGGGCTTGTCTGCTTGTGCATTTCCTGAGTTTTCTCCCTTAGCCCAACTCTGCTCTGCTTTAAGCAAAGTCAAAGAATACTCTGGAGTTTTCAGGAAACTCCAGACTATTGTGGGGCTTTGTGGTCATCTGAAGTCTATTTTGTGCTATGGTATAGTGTTTTGAGCACTGAGTACAACTCTGGAGAGTAAGGTTCAAATCCCCAGTTGGCAATGAAAACCCACAGAATGACGTTGGGCAAGTCACATATGCTTAGCCTTGGAAAAAAACCATGACAGGGTAACCTTCAGATAAAAAATGACTTGATGTCAAACAACAGCAATGATGATCATGTTAGAGTTTTCATAAAAAAATGAAGGGACACAATCACCAACACCCAAGTTTTCCTAGAGTCTGTTGTATTTCTATTCACCTTAAACATTATCAAAGTAATCCAGACAAGTTTCTTTTGGTAAATTTATGAAACTTGGTAACCTCCTTATCTAAGTTACTGCAGCAACATCCTGGGTTCTGTTCCCATCATGGAAAAAGCTAACCTGATTAATCTTTTTTTGTCATGCTGTGATGTTATTCGCACCTGTTCAAACAAGGTGCAAAAGTATCACAGCAGGATAGAAGCTTTGCACCCACTCTCAGCTGCCTCAGCTACCAGGCTGTCAAGAATCATGACCATCCCACTCATCTACTTGATCTAGAAAGCTAAAATTAAAACTGGTGGATAATGCCAAACTGGATGAGGTTTATGGACGTGAAAGGTCAAATATTCAGGGCTTAATAAAGTTGACAGATAGTGATGGACAATAACGTGAGAGAAGGATGGACAAGAACATGACAGCGGTTGTAGTCAGATTAATCACTATCAACTGTATTAAATGCATAGTGTATAGTTTAGGTTTAGTCTCTTTTTATTTACAAGTAAGAATGCACAACACTGATCAGGATGAGACTGTCATGCATGGATGAAAGAGGTTGCTTCTTTTTCATTTCATTTTCTACATTTTGGGGCTGGAGTTGAAGGATTTTATTGCACAAAGGTGGAAACCTTTAGAGCAGCAGGATGGTCACCAAAGGTGATGGTAACTACTGCTCAATGTTGCATTCCTGCCACCTCTCTGCAATGAACCTGTCAGAAGCAATTGAAAGGCAAAGTCATGATACCTGGACTTATTTCATGCAGTAGACATTTGAAGAAAAAAAATCCCACTTGACAAACACTTTGCATTTGCAAAATACCTTAAAAGTGAAAAGAAAAAAATAGTATGGTGGAGGACAGACTTAGCACCACTCACCTGGAAGTCTCCTGTAATCATGATGGTAGGTTGTTCCTATCCTGCAATGCAATATGCATGCAGTAATATCCTTTAAAAGTAATAGTACACACAACTCCCTTATCCATATATCTGATATCTATAACTGTAGGTACCCATCTTCCAAAAATTATGCCGCCCTATATTTGTAGGCCTCTCTCGGTCACCCTGTGTGATTCTATGGTACGATTCCTGCCTAAGTATAGTAAACATATAGAATTCTCTATCATTCATAGTTTTAGGTAGTCACACGGTCTTGGAAGCTATCCCTCATAGATATGGGCATTGTGTTGTACACAATGTCTCAGGTCAGGCTCATATATGCCTATTATTATGCTTGGAAAAAATGATCTTATATTTTTATTTAAATGCAGTTTAAAAACTAGTGTAAATGTGAAGACAAATATTCTTCTCTAGCAGTTTATACATATATTGCTTCTGTGGGGTTCTAATGACTGTCACATCCCATAAAAGTAGGTTGGGTTCATTGTTTGCGAATATTCTTGAAAAGAAGAGCCTCAAAATTTGCCCTGCAGATATAATTTCCACCTAACAGTCCATACATTTAAAATGAAGCCAATCCAGATTAACACCAACTACTCACTAAAAATAAAATGCAATGGTAGCAGTGATGTAAGTAACCTTTAGTCATAGCCACATGAACATCTGACATGTTTCATTAAGTGTCTGACCTTAACATAGCTATTCAGAAGTGGCAAAATTACTTATCATCCCTTGTATAAGATTTCATTTGATTTAATATGATGCTTTTATTATCCTATTTATTAACCATAATGGCTATTTTTAATGTACCTAAAATTATGGGGATTGTTAGTTTTACTGGTTCTTTAGCTTTCTCTGCTCAAAAGTGCTTCAAATTACAAGTGGTGTCGAACTGCATTAATTCTATAGTGTAGATGTAGCTTTTAACTCTTTGATGATTCACTCATACTAAATGAAGGTTATCACTTTTTCCTCTGAGAGATTCTTCATGTTTAATACATTTACAGCAGGCAAGTACACTATGTTCTGGCTACCTATCAAATTTGCCCAGTGCAGATGATTGAGCATTTCATCTCAGTTCCTTCTGGAAGAATTTGTCATTCTCAAGAACATGAGGTTTGCAATATTGGAATGCACAACAGAGCAAGACTAAGAGACTTTCGTATTCCTGTCATCAAGTAAATTAGCCTGAGAAGGCTTAAGGTTGAGTAGTGAAGAAGGAGGGCAGTTCCACTCTTTCCTTTCCAGTGATTTGTCCATTCACAATTACACTCTTTCCCTCTTCTCTGGGTGCATCTACACAGTAGAGTTAATGTGGTTTGATATGTTAACTACCATGACTCAATACTATGGATTCATGGGAGTTGTAGTTTTGCACGTTGGTTAGCTTTCCTTGCCAAAGTGTACTGGTGTCTTACCAAACTATAAATCTCCTCATTCTATAGCATTGAGCCATGGCAATTAAAGTGATGTCAAACTACATTGATTCTATAGTATAGATGCACACTTAGGGTCCTTCCGCACAGCCATATAACCCAGAATATCAAGGCAGATAATCCAAAATATCTGCTTTGAACTGAATTATTTCAATCCACACTGGCATATAATCCAGTTCAATGTGGATTTTATACAGCTATGGGGAAGGGGCCTCAGTTACTTTCATTGTGGTTAAACCAAATTAGAGGAACCGGTATCCTTAATCTCACCAAGAAAGCAGATTGAGATGCTTTGCCTAGTCTTTCATAAGAGTATTCATATACTAGTGCAGTGTTTCTCAACCTTCCTAATGCAGCGACCCCTTAACACAGTTCTTCATGTTGTGGTGACCCCCAACCATAAAATTATTTTGTTGCTACTTCATAACTGTAATTTTACTACTGTTATGAATCATAACATAAATATCTGATATGCAGGATGTATTTTCATTGGCATGGATCAAATTTGTCCCAATTTGACTACTGGTGGGGTTGGGGGAGGATTGATTTTGTCATTTGGGAGTTGTAGTTGCTGGGATTTATAGTTCACCTACAATCAAAGAGCATTCTGAACTCCACCAACAATACAAGTTTTAGTTTATCTACATCCAGAGAGCACTGTGGACTCAAACATTGATGGATCTGGACCAAACAAATACTCAATATGCCCAAATGTGAAAACTTGTGGAGTTTGGAGAAAATAGACTTGACATCGTAATCCCTGGTATTTATAGTTCATCTACAATCAAAGGGCATTCTGAACCCCATCAACAATAGAATGGGGCCAAACTTCCCACATAGAACCCACATGACTAATAGAAAATACTGTGTTTTTAAATTATCTTTGGTGACCCCTCTGAAACCCCCTTGTTACCCCCCCCCCCAGGGGTCCTGATCCCCAGGTTGAGAAACACTGTGCTAGCGTTTTTATCTCAATGCTATTTTTTTGCTAATCTGAATAGATTTGGCTTCAATTTCCTTCTTTAAAAAAAGCACCTGGAAAAGTTCATTTCCATGCCCCTTCCTTTCTTAAATTGCCACCTGAATGCCCCTAGTCTTTCCCAGGGTTGTGTTGGGCCCTCCTGATTATGAAAGGTATCATGTTGGAGGGTAATTTATTTATGAATAAATGGATATTAATATGGAAGCTGGTGGGGGGGGGGATGGAGAGAGAGTAGGGGAAGGAGAGAGAAAGAGAATGAATTGCAGCAGGAAAGGGTCTATGGGAGATGACTTATGCATTAGATTACATTTTGGTATCGTTGCAGAAAGCCAGTCACCAAATAAAGTGGTGCTAATCTAGCCCAATAAAGTCAAGATTAAAAATGGAAGTCGATAACAATGTTAAACAATTAACAATATTAAAGGAAGAGAGAACAGAAGGGGATAACATGTCCAGGATGGAAAGAGATCAAAACAATTAAAATAGAATCTAGGGCTCTTCCACTGTAGTTAGTTTCCTTCTTCACTTTTGCCTTTCTAACTTTGTAGGAATCAGACAGCGAAGGGAAATAAGCTGTTACGTGCTGTTCTTCATGGCAGATAGCTAAGATGCCAGAATAAAGGTTCAGAACCAGGGGGCTTTGGCAAGCTCTGTTGTTTTTCTCCAATGCTGCGTGGAGAGATAATGTAAATACTGATAGTCAGAACAGGACTAAACAGTTTTGGGAGCTATAATCCTATCCCCGGGTCCAATTCAATCCCAGGCTCAGAGGAGCCAAAGGCATGTACTGTACTTTCACCTTCATGACTTTCAACACTGAGACATCAGTGGTATGAAATCTCTCACTACAACATACAAACACACAAAAGTCCCATCTAAACTGATCACTTAGATCAATGTAGAGGCCATGCTGGCCATATGCTGCATATGGCTAATTTGGGATAACATGAGGCAAGGGCATCTTGCTCCATGTTAGCCAAAGAATTCGGACTATCACACAACTTATGGCCTATGAGAACAGTTGCACTGGGTTTCATGGGCTACTATTATCACTTTTGCTTTTCTGGTGTTTATTGATATCTTGATTTTTGTTACATCTGCTGCCTCCTCCTCCTCCTCTTCTTCTTTGTATCTTGCCTTCCTCTCCAAATTGAATTCAAACATCTAAAGCAATAGATTATGATTCATATCCCAAATAGCCCTGGTAAATTATGGTTTTCCTGCCCTGTCTTTCTGCAACAGTCCCCTGTGACTACACACAATCAATCCATCAAGAATTGCTTATTTAGGACTTTATTTCTACATTATCATCTTTAGGGTAGGAATAGAAGAGATCCTTTGTATGAGAGATGCTAAAATAAACTGTCCTAGGAAACCAATTATTAATTCATTAAAGAAGTGAAAACCACCAGAAGCTGTTTTCTTTCTAGGTCTAGATCATCTTCTTTACATACACATTCATACTCCATGCTCATCAACCATTAGAGAAACTTGGCAACATCAAAAGATATAGTTATGTATTTTCTAGAAACCAAGCACACCTGGTATTTTTGTATCTTATGCCCCACCAGAATCAGACATTTTTTTAAAATGTGCCAATGTTAAAATATCAAAGAGGTTTTCTTGTTTCAGAATAATGGGATAAGTTTCCTTGGGTCTTTGTAATTCCAGTTTAAGTCTTCACCAGGAGTATGACTGGACTGAATACAATTTATCTTGGCAATACCTTTGTTTATATACATTTTATCTTACAATTTTAATGCGGTGTCATGATTAGAGAGTCAAACGTCAACTCTCAATTTTGTCATGAAGTTCACCCAGCAAACAAAACTATTTCTCAAAATTGTGGAGGATAAAATGAGGTAAGCTGTCTTGAGTTCATGAGGGATATGATCAAAGCAGTTTATTTTCCTTTGGAGAAAACAAAAGAACAATGAAACCCAGAACAAAAACTGATTTTCTTCAATTTTAAAAGGTATCAAGTCTCAAGTCATAAACATGCTCAGATAGTTATGAGGACCATATGACTTAAGAATTAATGATAACATGCCACCTAGTGGCTTGTGCTTTAGGTGTTGCACTTAAATACAGCATAATTCATAAGCCATGTCTTTCTTGTTTCCTTTAGTGCAAACAGAAACGTCAACGCTTCTAAGAAATATAGCCCGGTACACAATCTTAGGGGACGATGGGAAGATTGGGCTGATGAGCATATGATAATGCAAAAACTCAATCCTTTCAGTGAGGAGTTTGACTATGAGTTGTCAATGTCCAAACGCCTGCGCAAAGGAGACAAAGGCTACGGTCGTCCTAAAGAGGGGACAAAAACGGCAGAAAGGGCAAAGAGAGCAGAGGACCATATTCATCGGGAGATGAAAGACATGTGCTTCATCATCAGGACAATGGCCCGCCACCGTCGCGATGGCAAGATCCAAGTCACTTTTGGAGAACTTTTTGACAGATATGTCCGCATTTCCGATAAGGTTGTTGGAATACTCATGCGGGCCAGGAAACATGGGATGGTGGACTTCGAAGGAGAAATGTTGTGGCAAGGCCGTGATGACCATGTAATAATAACTTTGCTGGAGTAACATTTCACAGGATAATCTAAAGAATAGTTACTCTTTTAGCCATAGAATGAGAACATTGTCTATTCAAAAGATTTTTTTTACAAAGACCAATGGAGATGTCAATGCACTTCTACATGTTATCATCATGTTCTTAAATTTCCTCAGACAGCAGTGTTTGGTTGGAATATTCAAAATAGATCTGCGTAGGGGAATAAAATGAGCATATATTTGAATGCAGTGAAATTACAAATTCACTAGAATCTGTTGAAGTGGTTTTGTCTTAGTAGAATAGTGTAAGCTTATCAAGTTTATGAAATAGCAGCGACCAATCCATCTGCTATCAAAACATGGAAATAATATTCATCAACAATTTTGTTTTAGTATCAGTGCAAATATGTTAGAACTAGAGGTTTCTGACATCCCTTCTTCAACACTGTTGAACACTGGAAATCTCTTTATGCCATATAGAATAAATTATGCTGCATTTTTATAGTATTACTTGAAATTATTATTATTCGATACACAACAAAATTAGTACACAGCAAACAAGATCACTATGCTGGCTTTTGTATTTGCTTACACGTTGGATATTTCCCAAGTGTCTAGGACTGTTTGATGTATTGCCGAATAATGCAAAATTATATTATTATTATTATTATTATTATTATTATTATTATTATTATTATTATTTCTTAATTTATATCCTTCCTCTTTTCAGTTAAGTAATGTAGCTGACTAATGACACTACACTGGGTATTGACCACACACAAATACACATAATGAGTATTTATAATTTCAAGATTTTGAAACCAGTCTTGTGAATAATGTATGTGATTTGTAGGTTTAAGTATAATTCAGATTTTTGCAATTATTTAAAATTATGTATTGATGAACTTCCATGCTTGAAACATGTATGGAGTTGCCTAAATAACTTGTGATTCAATGTTACTATTGTACCTATCCTTATTTTAACATGTTGCCTTTCAAATTGAAAGATTACACATCTTCTTATAGAAGTAAAAAAAAACTATTTTGTGTAAAGAGAAAGAGCATGCTATCTGGAGAATTGCCAAGCTACAGTAATATTCACATACAGAGGGATGTTTGTCTATCTGTTTGGTACATAGTACTCTTTCAGTCTGGTATCAATAACAGTATTAATCTGATATTATTATAAGAAGTGTTTTGCAGGCGTTGCAAAACATGGTTTGGTACAAACAGTTGGAATAATAATATAAAACCATACATTTGTAAATCGTTTAGCGTCTATAAATTTTTACACTAGTAGATCTGGAATAAGACTTCCATGATTTAAACCAGGGCTCCTCAAACTTTTAAAGCAGAGGTTCACGGTCCCTCAAACTGTTGAGGGGCCAGACTAGTAAAGGTAAAGATTTCCCTTTGACATTAAGTCCAGTTGTGTCTGACTCTGGGGGTTGGTGCTCATCTCCTTTTCTAAGTCAAAGTGCCGGCGTTGTCCATAGACATCTTCAAGGTCATGAGGCTGGCATGACTGTATGGAGCACCATTACCTTCCCATTGGAGCAGTACCTATTGATCTATTCATTTGCATGTGTTCGAACTGCTAGGTTGGTAGAAGTTGGGGCTAACAGCGGGAGCTCATGCCGCTACCTGGATTTGAACCTGCGACCTTTCAGAAAGCAAGTTTCGCAGTTCAGCGGTTTAACTCACTGTGCTACCGGGGGCTCTGTGGGGGATGTAGTAGTTTGAAAAAATCGTGAGCGAATTCCTATGCACACTGCACCTATCTGGAGTAGTTCCTTCATTTCTGTTTTTTTTTTGTTTATTTAATTTATCAATGGTTTCAGCATTGGTCAACTCTGAAAACCAACTCCCTGAAGGATTTTAGGCATGTCACATCCTTTCCGCTTTAGATAAAGGCAAGGGCCAATCCTCTCTGAATAAAACTTGGCCAGAAAAGTCTTGTACTTTTTTGTTCTGGGATTGCCATAAACTGGAAACAACTTCAATTTGTGAAAATGATGGGAGGGCAGGAGAAGCAGATGTACACTGCTGAGTGTTAGCAGTAAGCAATGAACTAAATAAAGCTTTAGGAAAGAGCACAATTCTACCTTAGCCAACTATAGCGTATTGGCAAAGTAAACTGCACCAACATCCCAAATCCCTTACTGTGGTGCATGAACTGCAAAAGAGAGTGCAAATGAGTCTGCTTTGTGAGCTATTCCCAACATATCAAAAACATGTGACAATGTATCCGAGATCAGTTTGATTAAGCATCAAAACTGGAAGGGGAAAATTCATTGCTGGATTTAGCATGGTCTTTAGAAGGAACAAAATACCTTTTTGTTTTATCTCACACATGAATATTCTAAGTTTTGAATAAATTATTTACTGAAACATGTTAAAGCTTCTCTTCTTTCTTCTTTCTTCTGATGTAGCAACCTATACCAGCTCTTTCCATTGTGCTTCTGCAACTAATACCAGCATTTCTGCTGGAGTAGTAGTGCCTATGAATACATTTACTTAATTAATGTGTGAATGGGCAGTATGTCCACAAATCATTATTATAATATTTGTATATTTTCAACCTCAAAAATGTAGAGGAATACATCTACCTTGGAAGGTTGTTAACATCAAGGAATGAATTGATGCTGGAGTTGAATAGATGCAGGAAATCAGAATGGGCCGCTTATAATTTCATTAAAGCCACATGTGGACTCAATTGGAAGTACATCTCTACGTGCTCGGTTTGACTCGACTGAGCTACCTGCCCTATGCTATGGTGCAGAGACATGAATGAAGGCTCTCTCAGAACAACTATGGGTTGCACATGCTTCCCTTGAAATATGGCTTGTTGGGATGTCTCTCCGAACGCAGAGAGAATGTGGACTGCACAAGGATGTTCAAAAAATATCAAAAGTGAAATGTCTTCTATGCCATGTTGCCCAACTCAAACATCGCTTTGCAGGCCACGTGATTTGCAGAACAGATGGGCACTGGAGCAATGCCACGGCAATATCGACCCGCGGGGATAGACGAGATCTCTTGGTCATCCTCCCACCTGATGGTCTGATTTATTCCATATGTCGTATAATGTGAGAGACCAACATGGTCATACAGTGGTACACTGGTCAATAAGATCTTGTGATCAGCGCAAAAGCTGAAGAACTGATAATCTAAGCATCTAAGCATATTTTTGACATACAGTGTTCCCTCACTTATCACGGGTACTACCTTCCAGGACCACCCAGAAAAAGTGGAAATCCATAAAGTAGGGACGCAGGAGCTTGGAAGAGGCAGCCAGGCACCTACTTCTGCAGTCATTGATGCCGTTGCCACCCTTCTTTCTCACTCACTCACCCCCTCCCCTCTCTCGCTACTCACCAGGCTGAGTCCTGGTTCTGCTGCCAAGGCATGGCTTGGTGAGTGAGCAAGCGAAGGAGGGCAGGTTGAGTGAGTGAACGAGGGTGGCAAGGGCACCAACGACAGCAGAAGGAGCCTGGCCACCTCTTCTGGGCTCTTGCTTCCGCTGCTGCTTCCACTTTCTGCCTCGCTCACTCACTCACCCTCCCTCGCTACTCACCAAACCAGGTCCTGGTGGCAGAACCAGGACTTGGCCCAGTGAGTAGTGAGCGAGGGAGGATAGGTGGGCGAGCAAGTGAGGGAAGGAAGGCCGCAAAGGCAGAACCAGCAGCAGAAGCAGGAGACTGGAAGAGGCGGCCACGCTCCTGGTTCTGTCACTGCTTCTGCCTTTGCAGCCCTCCCTTGCTTGCTCACCTGCCCTCCCTTGCTCGCTTGCTACTCACCAGGCCACATCCCAGTGGTGGAACCAGGACTTGGCCTGGAGAGTAGCAAGGAAGGAAAACCGCAATACAGCAAGTCAGTGAAAAGTGAACCATGAAGAAACGAGGGAACACTGTACTCCCCCCAGCCCGTGGTTCTTGTGGAGCTCTCTGAGTCCACATCAATTTTCTTCTTTAAAATATTCCATGCTGTAAATTGGGTAGATGGGCAACTAAACCAGCTGCCCATGGTTTATGGATAGTGGAATTATTTTTCGCCACATAAATATTGAGATTCGCAGAGTAATCTTTAGTAACAAAATAAAACCTCTACTTAGGAAACACTTGCATATCTAAATAAAGTCCAACTCAAGTTTAATGTTACATGTATTTAGATTTATTTGCTATATATGACTATTACCGTATAGTACTTAAAATCCATTACAGGATTGTTTATATTTAGTCTTGACCCACAAAGACAATAATAGTGCTGTGGAAGACCAAAGGGGAGAAAAGCCATGTTTAATTTATTTACAGTTCCTTTTGTTTGTAAACACTGAATCTACATATACGGTACTAGATTCTAACAGGAGTAGAGAGCTATACAATGAGACAGAAAACAATGCTGTGTTTATCCATATTAAGCATGAGCATATTATAGAGAGAGAACATCCCCTTTCCCGTTACACAGCATTAAGCATTCTTTTGGTAATTTTTTCAAACTTCTGAAACAACTTGGTATTAGCAACATACTATACAATTATAGTTAGTTATTTAAGCCAAGCCATTTGGCTTTTTATTCCATTTCTAGAATAATTTTAAAGTGCTAGAAGCAACCCGTCAATCAAGACTTTTTCCCTTCTAAAATAACAAAATACTACTTTAAACATTAATTTACAAGGTATATATACAATGTTCATCTGGAAAAGCTGAGATTTCAGCACAAATTCATTCACTGTCACACTTAACAGCATTTTTTATTTTTTGTTTTTGTTTTGCATAAACATAGAATATAAGCTTTGAAATAAATGGTTTTTGAATGATTATTGCCACAATGGCTTTTCAGTTTCCCTACAAAAGTGGACAAGAGCTACTGATTTACTATATTATAACCTGTCTTTTATCTTTTTAAGGTTTTTTTTTTTGTCTTGAGGTCACAGAACAGTAAGTTTGCATATTACACATCTACGATGTCTATCTAGAGAACATTACCCCATTGCATCAGAGCTGGTGCTAACTGCAGTTTACAACATAGATCCACTCAAAAGAAGAGAAAACATCACACCTATATTTTTTCTTTTTTTTTCTTTTTTTGGACAGGAGCAATTATTGGAGATGATGTGATACAAGGCTACAACAGAACTATAAAACAGTATATATCAGACACCTTATATGCTATTTGGAAAAAAATGCATCTGTTTCATAGTTTTAGTACATATAATGCCCTGCTACAACTATGAATTACTCGTTGCATTATGCTCACTTTGTCCAATGGC